AGAAAAAAAAAATGGAAAAGAAACAGTATAAAAAAATCTCCAGATCCAGTGCGAAAAATTTACTTTTTTCGAAAAAAGTTAATGAAACGATCAAAAATAACATAATCAGACTTCAAAAGGACTCAAATAAATGAAACAATAGAAAAATGAAAGAAAAATAAAGACGTAGAGAAATATGAAAAAAGAAATACAGAAATAAATATAACCACAAAGAAAAGGACGAAAATTTTGGTCCTTATATATGAAAAAAAAACAAAAATATCGTCTGGAAATACAAAAAGAACCAAAGAAACGTAAGAACAACAGAAAAAGATTATTGAAAAAGAAAAAGGGATAAAAACGAGAAAAGACGTTTTTGAATTTAGATTCAGAACAAAATGGAATGGGAAAGTTTTTCTAAAAAAAAATGCAAAAAGGATGAGAATCAACTCAAAATTACTTTTGTCTGAAAAAATTATGTAAATAAATAAATTAATTAATTAAAAAAAGGAAAATAAAAACGCAGAAGAATACGAAAATAAATCAAAAATCCACGAAAGAAACCCAAGGACAGAAAAAAATTTGTAAAAAAAAGACGATAAAATCGGGTTAAGAAGTTTTTGTGTTAAAATTTAGAAAAAAATGGAAAAGAAACAGTGTAAAAAAATTCCCAGATCCAGTGCGAAAAATTTACTTTTTTCGAAAAAAGTTAATGAAACGATCAAAAATAAAACATAATCAGACTTAAAAAGACTCAAATAAATGAAATAATAGAAAAACGAAAGAAAAATAAAAACGTAGAGAAATGTGAAGAAAAAAACAGAAATAAATATAACCACAAAGAAAAAGACGAAATTTTGGTCCTTATATATGAAAAAAAAAACAAAAAATCAAAAATATCGTTTGGAAGTACAAAAAGAACCAAAGGAACGTAAGAACAACAGAAAAAGATTATTGGAAAAGAAGAAAGAATAAAAACGAGAAAAGACGATTTTGTATTTAGATTCAGAACAAAATAGAATTACCAGTTTTTCTAAAAAAAAAAAAACAATAAAAAACAGCAAAAAGGATGAGAATCAACTCAAAATTACTTTTGTCTACAAAATTATGTAAATAAAGAATATAAAGAATAAAACATAATCAGGGCTTTAAAACGACTCAGGTAAATGAAAAAAAAAATAAAAACGCAGAAAAATACGAAAAAATCAGACAGATATAAAATTTCACTTTACAGGTTAGAACAAACTATAAATAAATAAAAACACAAAGGAAAAGACGAAGGTTCAGGTCATTGTATCACCAAAGAAACCTAAGGACAGAAAAAAATTGTAAAAAAAGAAGTTAAAATCGGATTAAGAAGATTTTGTGTCAAAATTTAGAAAAAAAATGGAAATAAAACAGTCTAAAAAAATCTCTAGGTCCAGTGGGAAAAAATTAGTAATAATAGAATTAACACAAATTTACTTGTTTCTAAAAAAAGAAAATGAAACAATTAAAAGTAAAACATAATCAGACTTCAAAAGGACTCAAATAAATGAAATGAGGGAAAAATGAAAGAGAAATAAGGATGCAGGAAAATTTGAAAAAAATTTAGAAAAAAATAGAAAGGGAACAGTTTTTCTTAAAAAGAAAACACAAAGAAAAATATGACTATTCAGGTTTTTGTGTTTGAAGGACAACAAAAATTGTAAAAAAAGATAAAACCATGATAAGAATATTATGTGTCAAAATTAAAAAAAAATAGAAATGAAATGAAAAAAGTAACCAAAGAAACGTAAGAACAACAGAAAATATGAATAATAAAAACGAGAAAAGACGATTTTGTATTCAGATTCAGAAAAACATGGAAATGGAACAGTTTTTCTAAAAAAAAGCAAAAATGATGACAAGCAACACAAATTTACTTTTGTCTGAAAAAATTAAAAAAATAGAAAATAAAACAATCATAGACGACTCGAATTAGTGAAATAAGAAAGAAACAGAAAAAAATTTAGAACAAAATTTAAATAAATAAAAGTCTAAGGAAAATAAAAAAAATCTGGTCATTGTGTTTGAAAAAGGAAAGCAAAAACATCAAAATGGCCTCTGGAAATACAAAAAGTCACTAAAGAAAAGCAATAACAAAAGAATTAAAAAAAAAACGACATAATCGATTTTGTATCCAAATTTAGAAAATAAAATGCAAATGAAACAGTTTTTCTAGAAAAAAAATCTCCGGATTCAGCAGGAATTAAAAAAAATACATATCAGGAATGATGAAGAATCAACACAAATTTACTTTTATCTGAAAAAATTAAATAAATAATTGAAAATTAAACATTAACGAAAATCCGGGTCTTCAAAAATAGTGTCTGGAAATACAAAAGAAAGCGAAAAAACGTAAAAAGAATAGAAAAACACTGAAAAAGGAAAAAATGGATATTGTATTGAACAGTTTAAAAAAAAATCCCCTGGTCCGGAGGAATAAAAAAAAGCAAAAATGCTGAGAATCAATACAAACTTGCTTTTACCTGAAAGGATTATGTAAAAATATTAGTCAATTAAATGAAATAACGAAAAAATGAAAGAAAAAGGAAGAACACAAAAGAATACGAAAGAAAAATAGAAACACAAATTTTTCAGTCCGACTTTGTATTCAAATTTAGAAAATAAAATGGAAATGAAACATTTTTTTTAGAAAAAAAGTCTTCCCGTTCAGCAGAAATAAAAAAATATCAAAAATGATGACGAATCATCATAAATTTATTTTTATCTGAAAAAATTAAATAGATAATTAACAAATAAAACATAATCAGACCTTCAAATCAACTCAAATAAGTGAAATAACGGAAAAATCGGAAAAATTCAAGAAAAAGGAAGACGCAGAAAAATGCGAAAGGAAAAGAGAGACACAAATTTTCAGTTTAAAAGTCAGAACCAAAGCTAAATAAATGAAAATACAAAAGAAAGAACGAAAAGTCAGGTCACTGTGTTTGAAAAAAAAAAGAAAAGCAAAAACATCAAAATTGCGTCTGGAAATACAAAAAGTCACTAAAGGAAGGTAAGAACAAAAAAATATTGAAAGAAAAAAACGATAAAGAAAAAACGATGTTGTAGCCAAATTTAGAAAATAAAATTAAACGGATTTTCCAAAAAAAAATATCTCCAGGTCCAGTGGGAATAAAAAATGTCAAAAATTACGAGAATCAATAAAAATTTGGCTCTATCCGAAAAAATTACGTAAATAAATAAAAAATAAAACAATCGTCAGGTCATTGAAGAACAGAAAAAAAATTTTAAAAATGATAATTAAAAAATGGAATCGAAACAATTTTTCAAAAAAAAAAATCCAGGTCTAGTTTGAATAAAAATTACGAAAATGATGAGAATCCACACAAATTTATTTTTGTCCAAAAATTAAATAATTAAAAACTAAAACATTCAAAGCTTCAAAATGAATCAAATAATTGCAATAAGGAAAAATGAAAGAAAAATAAGTACGAAGCAGAATGTGATAGAAAAAGGGACCTAAATCATCAATTTACAAGTTTGAACAAAATTTAATATGTAAAATCAGGGGAAAGACGAAAATTCAGACGAAAAAGGTCAAATTTTGAAAATATAATTTCGTTTTCTAATTTAAAAAAAGATGGAGAATTAAATAGATTTTCACAACCCAAGTAAGAAAACTAAACGAAAAATAAGAAAGAAAGAACACAGAAAACACAAAAGAGGAAGAAAAATGGAATTTTCAGTTCACAGCCAAAATGAAATTTAAAGAAATAAAAACACCAAGGAAAAGACGAACATTCAGCTTATTGATTTTGAAAAAGAAAACAGGAACAGAAGAAGATAGAATAGTAAAAATATAATTTTATTTTCAAATTTAGAAAATTCAGAATTAAACAGGTTTTCAAAAAAAAAATCAATAGGTACACGAAATTGAATCACAGCTTTAAAAAGTCAAAAATCATCAAAATGGCATCTGGAAATACAAAAAGTAGCTGACAAAGCTTGAAAAAAGATTATTTTGCTTTAAAATTTACGAAAAAAAAACGAGTTTTCAGAAAAGCTCTCCACGTCTACAGAAAAATTAAAAAAATATAATTTTGTTTTCAAATTTAGAAAATTGAGATTTAAAGAGATTTTCAAAAAAAAATCAATACACAAAATTGAATCACAGCTTTAAAAAGTGAAAAATCATCAAAATGGCATCTGGAAATACAAAAAGTGGCTGACAAAGCTTGAAACAAGATTATTTTGGTTTAAAATTTATAAAAAAAACGGAAAATTAGCTCTCCACGACTACAGAAAAATTAAAAAACTAGTAAATTCTCACCAAAATAAAACCCAGCGAACTCGAACACAGCCAACCCACCAATACCGCGTCCAGAAAACTGGAGCCCAAACCCCAAGAAAAACCCAGCCCTGGCCTCCAGCCAGCTGACTCCAACCCCCACCCACCCATATTTCGCAACCACCCAGAACCAAAAAATAAAATTAATCAACCCCGAATTTAATTTGCACGAACCCCTTCATAATCCTCGCCTCCCAGCGGAGCCATTTATATTTAACAAAACTCACCCCCGAGATTTTTCCACGTCGTCCCTTCTCGCACTAAAAATAACCCCATAAAAAATTCCATGCCCCGACTTCCCAAAAAACCACCCTCGGCCAACCTGGCCGCACACACGCTCGGACCCGTCTTCAGTCCGCCCCTGGAATATTAATAAGCCGACCATCCCTAATCACACATTTAAACCATCGTTGGCACAAAAATTCACACAACTCACTGTCACGCCACGGTATCGATTTTGGAATTTACGACTTTCGGAGGAATTTTGAAGAACGCAGTCGGGGCGCCAGCCCGGCCCTGAGTCCGGAGCGGCGCTGAGGCAAGCTGGGGCCCGGTTGGAGGTGGCCCGGATTTTCGAAAATCTCGCCGGAATTTGGAAATTTTGGGGAGGGGGTGCGGGCGGCCAACGGCGGGGCGTGCTGGGGGCGGCGGGGCGCAGGCTGGGGCGGCGGTGGGTGCGACTTACCCCGATTTGTATGATGTTTTTAGTGAAAATTTTAGGACGGAGACACTGAACTAGCTACAAATGGCGGCATCACTATATAGGTCACTATTGAATCAATCTGCGCGCGTCTTTCAATTGATTGGAGACCGGAGCGCCGTGACGTCAGGCATCTGCTGGGGACGGGCGGGGGCGGCGACATCTGGCGGCGGAGAGCGGGAAGGGATCTTTAAGGAGGCGATTTGTCATGTGGGCTGGGGGTGTTGGCAGGAATGCTGCCATAAATTTTCGAAGATGGGGTTTAAAACGAGTTGGGGTGGGTTTCGACTTTTTTTAGAATTGTTCAAATTAGACGTCAAAAGTGGAAGAAAATTTCATTATTTTTTGGAAATTTTCAAAATAAAATTTCCTGTATATTATAAATCGGGCTATATATTCCCAAAAAAGAAAAAAATAGTCAAATTTAATTTAAAAAAAAACTAAAAATACACAATTTTCGAAATTTTGTTTCGAACTGTCAAAAATCAAAGGAAAATCCTTTGTTGATTAGAAATTTTTCAAAAATGTGTTAAAAATTTAAGAGTTGCAATATTTTTTAATTTGTTAAAATTAAGATGATCGAGGAAAAAAGAAGTCTGTTTTTGAAAGAACTTTCAAAAAGTGAAAATAGCTCTTTTTCCAACAGACTTAAAAAACCGCAAAAAATTTTTCTAGAATCATCAATAACTTGTTTTTTTTTATTAAGCTCGTCGAAATCTACACCTCAGAATTTTTTGTGGATTTTCAGTAACTTTCAATAAAACTAAATTTTTGAAAATCAATCTAAAATGTTTGACTTTTCCCAAGCATTTTTGAAGATTATCAAAAGAAATTTCTGTATTGATTTCGATCTCCAGATGCTGTTTTCGGCTTTATTTTTTCAAAAATTCGTCGTGTTTCCAAAATCACCGAAAGAAATATGACAATATTTGAGATATTTTGAAAATTAGATTTTGAAACTGAATATTTCGAAAATCTTGATCTGGGACCACCAAGACCAAGTTTTTGGATTAAGTTTGTCGAAAACTACATCTCAGAATTTTTTGTAGATTTTCAGACAACTTCAACAAAAGCTCAATTTTTGCAAATCCATCTAAAATTTTTTACTTTTTCCAAGCACTTTCGAAGATTTCAAAAAAAATTCCTTTGTTGTTTAGAATTCCAGATAATGTTTTTGGCGTCATTATTTCGAATATTCTCACAACTTTTCCAAAATCACCAAAAGAAATTAGCAGTTTTTGTAATATTAAAAAATTTGATACGAAAATCAAATACATATTTTGAAAATTGTGTGTTTTTCGATTAAGCTCGTCGAGATCCCAGAATTTTTTGTGTATTTTTAGTCAACTTCAACAAAACCTCAATTTTTGAAAATCCATCAAAAATTTTTGACTTTTCCCAAGCACTTTCGAAGATTTAAAAAAAAATTCCTTTGTTGATTTAGAATTCCAGATAATGTTTTTGGCGTCATTATTTCGAATATTCTCACAACTTTTCCAAAATTACCAAAAGAAATTAACAGTTTTTGTAATATTAAAAAATTTGATACGAAAATCAAATACATATTTTGAAAATTGTGTGTTTTTCGATTAAGCTCGTCGAGATCCCAGAATTTTTTGTGGATTTTTAGTCAACTTCAACAAAAGCTCAATTTTTGGAAAATCCATATATTTTTTACTCTTCCCAAGCATCTTCGAAAATTACCGAAAGAGATTCCTTTGTTGATTTCGATTTCCAGATGTTTTTGGCTTCATTGTTTCCAAAAATTCCTACAAATTTTCCAAAATCACCGAAAGAAATTGGCAATTTTTGAGATATTAAAAACCTTATTTTGAAAATATTTCAAAAATTTTGTTTTTGGATTAAGTTCGTCTAAATCTATCTCTTAGAAATTTTTTGTGGATTTCTTGTCACAACTTGTAACAAAAGTTGAAGTTGTGAAAAACCCATAATGTTTTGTTAATGTTTCCCAAAATATATCTAAAATTACTTTTTTAGATTTGTTTAAAATAGACATAATCGAGAGAAAAAAGAATTTGTTTTGACAGAACTTCCAAAAAATCAACAATTAAAAAAAACAAAAAATTCAAAAAAATATTCTGTCACAAATTTTTAAAAATCTTGCATTAAATTTTCTGTATAACATAAATCAATTTACCACATTTAAAACTCATTTTTATGCCACATTTAAAAAAAATAAAATGACAAAAAACAATTTCCAAAAATCTCCCAAAAATTGGAAAAAGTTCCAAAATTTTTTTAATTTGTTTTGGAACACAAATCGATTTTGTAAATTTAAAAGTCACTTTTGTGGCACATTTCAAGCAAATAAAATAAAAAGCAAAAAAATAGTTTTCAAAAATGTTCTAAAAATTAATTTTCATTTTTTTTTTTAATTTTGTATAAACCAAAGATTAACGAAAAAAAAGGGGATTTCTTTTGACAGAATTTCCAGAAAGTCAAAACTGAGTTCTTTTTCTAACAGATTTAAAACAAAAATGTTAAAAATAGGTATTTTTTCAAATATTTTTAGAAATTTTCAAATTAATTTCCCCTATGATATAAATCGATTCTGTATTTTTAAGTCATTTTTGTGGCAGATTTAAAAAAAAATAAACAAAATGACTAAAAACAATGTTCAATATTGTTCTAAAAACTGAAAAAACGTTTCAACTTTTTTTAGATTTATAGAACAAGAAATAGAAATTTTTGATTAAATTTCCTAATACAAATTGAAATAAAATGGCAAAAAATTACATATTTTCAAAATGGTGTGAAAATAAGTTTGAGAATTTTTTTAAGATTTGTTAAAATTGAAAATGATCATATCAAAAAAAAGATCCGTTTTGATTGAATTTTCAAAAAGTTAAAAAAATAGTTTTTCAAAAATGTTTAGAGAATTTCAAATTGGTCTGTCGGATATGTGTGGATTTTGTATATTTAAGTCAAAGAAATAAAGTTAAATAGATAAAAACAGTTTTCAAAAATAGTCTAAAAACGGAAAGTTACAAATTTTTTGAAATCTATTAAAATTAAAATTGTTCGAGGGAAAGAGTTGTTTTTATACAATTTCCAGAAAGCTAAAATTGTTACGTTCTTGTTTCAACAGATAAAAATATTTTCAAAATTTTTTTGAAAACTTAAAGAAATGAAACGCCAAAAAAAATATTCAAAAAGCTCAAGTCTCAAATTTTTTTTCACATTTGTTATTAAAGATGATGGAAAGAAGACGTTTTTTATAGAATTTCCAAAGAGTGTTCTTTTTCCAACAGATTTTCGAAAAACAAAAAATTGCAAAAAATATGTTTTCAAAAATTTTAAGGAACCATACATTAGATTTTCTGTATCATCTAAATCGATTTACCACATTTAAAATTCGTTTCTTATGGCATATTTCAAAAAAATTAAAATGGCAAAAACAGTTTTCAAAAATCTTCTAAAAAATGAAGTTTCAAAATTTTGTTGGATTTGTTAAAAGTCAACATAAACGAGGGAAAAGATGTTTTTTGAAGAATTTCCAGAAAGCCAAAATGGAGTTCTTTTTTGAACAGGGTATAAAAAAGAAAATCCCAAAAAAAAATTTTCAAAAATTTTTACAAAATTTCTGTAGAATATAAATCGATTTTGTAAATTTAAAAAACATGACAAAAAATATTTTGTTCTAAATGTTCTAAAAATTAAAAAAGCCTCAAAATTTTTTTTTAGGTTTCGTTAAATTGGAGATGAACGAATGAAAAGGGAGATCTCTTTTGACAGAATTTCCAGAAAGTCGCAACTTTTTTCCAACAGATTAAAAAAAAGTATAAACAATATTTTTCCAAAATTTGTTCAAAACTCTCAAAAAAGATGTTCTGATAGAATTTTCAAAAAGTGACATTTAACAAGTTAAAAAACCAGAAAAAGCAAAAAAAGCAAAAATTTTTAGAGAATTCCGAATTAGATTTCCTGTAGGATATACATACACGGATTTTGTATATTTAGGTCATTTTTGTGGCACATTTCAAAGAAATAAAATAAAACGCAAAAACAATTTTCAAAAATGTAGCATAAAAATGGAAAGTGTCAAATTTTTTTAAACTTATTAAAATTAAAATGTTTTGTATAATTTCCCGAAAGTTAAAACGGTGAAGTTCTTATTTCAACAGATAAAAATATTTTCAAAAGTTTTTGAGAATTTGAAAAAAAAAATACAACACCATAAAATAATTTCCAAAAATATTCCAAAAACTGAGGTCTCAAAATGTTTTGAGACTTATTGAAGTTAAAAATGACGGAGAGAAAAAGATGTTTTTTATAAAATCTACAGAAAGTTAAAACTGAGTACTTTCCCAGACTTTTGAAACACAAACAATTGCTAAACATTTTTTCAAAAATTTTCTAAAAATTAAGTTTAAATTTTTTTTTTACTTCTTTAAATTGGAGATGTACGGAAAAAGGGATCCCTTTTGGCAGAATTTCCAGAAAGTAAATTTCTTACCATAAAACGACTTACAACATTTAAAACTCATTTTTTGTGAATTAAAATAAAACGGCAAAAAATAATTTTCAAAAATGGTCTAAAAATAAGTTTCAATTTTTTTTTAAATTAAAGACAAGCACAAAAAAACTTTCTAACAGGTTTTTAAAAAACCAAAAATTGCGAAAAATATTTTCAAAATATTTTGGGAATTTAAAAAATTAATAAAACGCCAAAAAAAATATTCAAAAATATGCCAAAAACTGAAGTCTCAAAATTTTTTTAGATTTGTTAAAATTAAAAATGATCAAGGGAAAAAGACATAGAAATCGCCGGAAATTAAAACTTTGGGTTCTTTCTTAACAGATTTTTCAAACACAAAAAAAATTGGAAAAAATATTTTTTCAAAAATTTTTCTGAATTTTAAGACACATTAAATAAAATACACAGACCTAAAAAAACAATATTTTCATTTAAAGAAAGTCAAAAGTGACAGATTTAAAAAAATGCAATTTTATAAATTTAAGTCATTTTGTGGCACATTTCAAAGAAATAAAATAAAATGACAAAAAGTATTTTTCAAAAATGTCCAAAAATCAAGTTTCAAATT